CTGGAACGACGAAGGTTGCCCGCAGCTCTCTTCCGCAGAGCGCGTCAGAAAACCCCTCGTGCAAACCTTTCAGGCAAGAACCCCCCGCGTTGAGCCTCCTCCTCCTCCTCCTCCTCCTCCTCCTCCTCCTCCTCCTCCTCCTCCCATCCAACTGTTGCCAGTTCTACTTTCTCTAAGCCCTCGCGGCCCCACATGCTTTCTCCAGTTCTCTTAGTTGTCCGTTTGTCTCCTGCACTTGCTGGCCGCTGTGCTGATGGTACATCGCCTGAACCAGTTGTCTCGTTTTTCGCCTAGACGCTGCGATCTTCCGCTCGTAGCCCGTGCAAGGTACAGAAAAAAATGTAGGGTCGGACCGAGGTATAAGATCGAGCTCGGTTCGGGAAGGGTACCCTGATGCTCGGCGAGGCCCAGAGGGGATGAAGAACATCCAAGGACCTCGGGCTCGAGACTCCACCGTTCGCCCCAAACCACCCGACGTCGTGATTGTTGCGCGACGTGGACCCCTGAGGTCTGGACCCCTTCGCGAGCACCCGCTTTCTCATCCCGAGCCTCGGCAGCGCGCCCAGGGGGGAAGTGAGAGGGGGGCGCGCCCCCGGGAAGGCGGCGGGGCTTCTCGGAAGCCCTTCGGCCTTCCGAGAAGCCGTTCGCTTCTTCGGCGAAGGTTCACGAAGTTTCTCGGGAAGCTGGAGGCCTTCCGAGCCTTCGGAGGAGGCCCCCGCCCCCTTCTGCCTGTTCCCCCGGGCGCGCCGCCGGGAGTCGTGTTGCCCGGCGGCCCCCACGGAGCCTGGCGGCACTCGCCCCGCCCCCTGCCGAGCTGCCACCTGCACACCGCAGATGACCGCCCAGGAGCACGCAGAGGGGCCCTCGCCCGGTGCAGACGCCCCAGACCTCCGCCGACGCACACGATGGGGTGCGGCGAGACACGGCCGTGGCCGAAGCCCCATGCGAGCAGCGCCCGCCCCCCGGCCCGGGCCGTGCTCCTGCGGCGACGCTTGCGCGCCGTGGCCGGGTTCCGAGCTGGCCGCGAGGACGTCTCGGCGAGAAAAGCCCGGGTGGTGCACGTCCACCCAGGGTTTCTTAACATTTCTTATAACATATCGAAAATTATATGCAAATAGTTCGTCTTATCGTGCAAAAAATATATATTCCACTATTATGCTGAAAAATAGATATCATTGAAATTATAAGATTACAATATCACTGTTGAAACAGCAAAAACAATTTCCGAAATTACATTTCGCTGCGCCTGCGCGTCCCTCCAGCCTCGGGGGCCCGACTTCGGGCCCCGGGGCCTGCAGAAGTGAACGGGGAGCGCACGCCTGCCCCGGGGGAGAGGGTCGGGGGCTCTGGGGCCACGGGCTGGATAACTCACATCGGGCGATGCCTGGGCGCCCTCCCCGGCCTCGGCCTGGAGGGCTTGCTGCACCATGCCAGAGCCCAGGCCGGCCCTGGCTTGGTGGCTTCTGCGCATCCTCCCCTCGCCATGAGGGAGAGGGGTCTACACCCCCAGGGCGGGGCAATCAGGGGTCTCAGGACAAGTTCGTCTAGGAGCCGTTATCTGGCGGCCCTGCAGCCCGGGGGGGGGGGCGAAGACGGCAGCGAATGCCCAGGCCCCCAAGTGTCCCGGACCCATTTCCTCCAGGACCCGTCTCCTTCCTGATCGGGCGGCCCTTCTGGCCGGGACACCTAGACCTCCGATGTCGCACTGTTCATCGCGAGGAGTGGGCTCTTGGGATCCGCTTCTCATCGCGGGCCGATGTGTGGCACTCTGGGGGCCGAATCGGGCTTCCAGGAGACGCAAAGATGCAGCGAGTCTGCCGTCGTGCTTGTTGGCTCGCGATGCCCAGGATGTCAGGAAGTGGCTGGCGATTCCAGAGGTCCTTTCAGGGGTCGGACGAGAGAGTGCGACAGGCCTCGGAACAAATTAGCGAACACATGCCACATTCATCCGTCAACGCCTCCCCCCCCCCGATGTTCAAGGTTGGCGGTGGGTCTGATGAGATGCACTTCGACCGCAGTCTCCCCCGCGCGTGCCAACATTGAGTTTGGGGGGGAGGGGGAGTGTTCAGTAATTGTTTCCCTCTACCGGATGGGGAAAGGCGGGGGGAGAAAGTTGCTGCGTGTAGTTGGTTTCGGCTCCGCCGCCAGGCGCACCCCTGGATCCGAAGGGCGCCTCCGGCGCCGGGCTGGGCTGGCGCCGGGAAAAGTAGCCTCGCGAGCGGATTTCCAAACCCCTTTTTGCCATCCTTGGCATCGCTCGGACGTGTGCATCTTTCTTTCGGCGAGGACCATCGAGGAGCATCCCTGATCATTTGGCGAAAAAACCACGCACGAAATAAAAAAAAACAGGAAATGGACGTCCAAGCGATGGCCAACCCCGCTTTCCCTCCACGCCTGCCCTTGAGGTCCTGGCGTCGCAGAGGGCTCGCGACGGGCGATCTCGTCTCTTGTCCTGCTTCGGCCTCCAGGGGCCCTCGCGGGTCGACCGGGCTCGAGCATGCCGCAGGAAGATGGGGTCACCAGGGCTCCGGCCGGGTTGTGCTACGGTGCTGCCATCGTCCCGCGGCGTCGGCTCCGAGGGGCCTCGGCCGAGGCCGCGCCGCTCTGCGCCCGCAGCCCTCGCCCTGCCCACGCCCCGGGCGAGGCCGTGGCCGGATCGGAGGGCGGAGGCCTCGCTCCGGGAGGGGCGGGCCGAGGTCTTCGGTGAGAGAGCATGCTCGTGGTGCCGGCCCCCCCCCGCCGCGCCGCAGGTGCGTGCGACGGCGCGCGAGGCGCGCGCGGCCGCCGGGCCGTGGCGGGCCGCCTCTTTGCTGGCTGTTGTGTGTGTGTGTGCGTGCGTGTGCGCGTGCGCGTGCGTGTTCTGTGTGTGTGTTGTGTGTGTTGTGTGTGTGTGCGTTGTGTGTTCTGTGTGTTCTGTGTGTTGTGCGTGTTCTGTGTGTTCTGTGTGTGTGTTCTGTGTGTTGTGTGGTGTGTGTTGTGTGTACGGGTTGTGCGTGTGTTGGTTGTGTGTTGTGTGTTGTGTGTGTGTTGTTTGTAACTTGTGTAGCGTGTGTAACGTGTGCAACGTGTGCGTGAGTGTGTGTTGTGTGTGCGTGTGTGCGTGTGTGCGTGTGTGTATGCGTGTGTGTATGCATGTGTGTGATTGTGTAAGTGTGTGCAAATGTGTGTAAGTGTGTGTGTGTCTGTCTGTCTGTCTGTCTGTCTGTCTGTCTGTCTGTCTGTCTGTCTGTCTGTGCGTGTCGGTGTGTGTAAGTGTGTGTGTGTGTCTGTGTGCGTGTGTGTGGGTGTGTGTGTGTGTGCATGGGTGTGTCTGCGTCTGTGCGTGTATCTGTGAGTGTGTCTGTGCCTGTGCCTGTGTCTGTGCGTGTTTGTGTGAGTCTGTGCCTGTGTCTGTGTCTGTGTCTGTGTCCGTGCTTGCGTCTGCGTCTGAGTCTGCGTCTGTGTCTGTGTCTGTGTCTGTGTGTCTGTGTCTGTGTCTCTGTATCTCTCTGTCTCTGTATCTCGTGTCTGTGTGTCTGTGTCTGTGTGAATGTCTGTGTCTGTGTCTGTGTCTCTGTGTGTGTCTGTGTGTATGTGTCTGTGTCTGTGTCTATGTCCGTGTGTGTGTCTGTGTATCTGTGTGTCTGTGTGTCTGTGTGTCTGCGTTTCTGCGTGTCTGCGTGTCTGCGTGTCTTTGTGTCTGTGTTTCTGTTTGTGTGTCTGTGCGTTTGTGCGTCTGTGAGTCTGCGCGTCGGTGTGTCTGTGAGTCTGCGTGCCGGTGTGTCGGTGTGTCCTTGGTGTGTCGTGAGTGTCTCGTTGCTGTGTCCGTGTTTGTCGGTGGTGTGTCGTTGTTGTGTCGTTGTTGTGTCGTTGTTGTGTCGTTGCTGTGGTGTTGCTGTGTCGTTGCTGTGGTGTTACTGTGGCGTTGTTGTGTCGTTGTTGTGTCGTTGTTGTGTCGTTGCTGTGTCGTTGCTGTGTCGTTGCTGTGTCGTTACTGTGTCGTTGCTGTGTCGTTGCTGTGTCGTTGTTGTGTCGTTGCTGTGTCGTTGTTGTGCCGTTTTTATGCCGTTGTTGTGTCGTTGTTGTGTCGTTGTTGTGTCGTTGTTGTGTCGTTGTTGTCTCGTTGTTGTATCGTTTGTGTGTCGTTGCTGTCGCGTTGTTGTGTCGTTGTTGTGTGCTTATTGTGTCGTTGTCGTGTCGTTGTTGTGTCGTTGCTGTGTCGTTGCTGTATCGTTGTTGTGTCGGTGCTGTGTCATTATTGTGTCGTTGTTGTGTCGGTGTTGAGTCGTTGCTGTATCGCTGTTGTGCCGGTGTTGTGTCGTTTGTGTGTGTGTTGTTGGTGTGTCGGTGTTGTGTCGTTGTTGTGTCGTTGGTGTGTCGTTGTTGTGTCGTTGTTGTGTCGTTTTGTGTCGGTGTTGTGTCGGTGTTGTGTCGTCGGTGTGTCGTTATTGTCTCGTTGTTGTGTCGTGATTGTGTCCTTATTGTGTCGTTGTTGTGTCGTTGTTGTGTCTGTGGTGTGTCGTTGTTGTGTCGGTGGTGTGTCGTTGTTATGTCGTGGTTGTGTCTTTGCTGCCTCGGTGCTGTGGCGTTGCTGTGACCTTATTGTGTCGTTGTTGTGTTGGTGTTGTGTCGTGATTATTTCGTTGTTGTGTCGTGAGTGTGTCGTTGATGTGTCCGTGGCGTGTCGTTGGTGTGTCATTGTTGCCTCGTTGCTGTGTCGTTGTTGTGTCTTTGCTGTGGCGTTGTTGTGTCGGTGTTGTGTCGTTTGTGTGTCGTTGTTGTGTCGTTGATGTGTCGTTGCTGTGTCGTTGATGTGTCGTTGTTGTGGCGTTGTTGTGGCGTTGCTGTGTCGTTGTTGTGTCGTTGGTGTGTCGTTGTTGTGTCGTTGTTGTGTCGTTGTTGTGTCGTTGTTGTGTCGTTGTCGTGTCGTTGTTGGATCGTTGTTGTGTCGGTGTTGTGTCGTTGGTGTGCCGTTGTTGTGTCGTTGTTGTGTCGTTGCTGTGTCGGTGTTGTGTCGTTGTTGTGTCGTTGAAGAATCGTGATTTTGTCGTTGTTGTGTCGTTGTTGTGTCGTTGGTGTGTCGTTGTTGTGCCGTTGTTGCGTCGTTGTTGTGTCGTTGATGTGTCGGTGTTATGCCGTTGGTCTGTCGTTGGTGTGCCGTTGTTGTGTCGTAATTGTGTCGTTGCTGTGTCGTTGTTGTGCCGTTGTTGTGTTGTTGGTATGTCATTGCTGTCTCGTTGCTGTGTCGTTGTTATGTCGTTGTTGAGGCGCTGTTGTGTCGTTGGTGTGTCGTTGGTGTGTCGGTGTTGTTTCGTTGTTGTGTCGTTGGTGTTTCGTTGTTGTGTCGTTGTTGTGTCGTTGTTGTGGCGTTGCTGTGTCGTTGTTGTGTCGCTGGTGTGATGTTGTGTCGTTGTTGTGTCGTTGTTGTGTCTTTGTTGTGTCGTTGTTGTGTCGTTGTTGTGTCGTTGTGTCGTTGTTGTGTCGACGTTGTGTCGTTGTTGTGTCGTTGCTGTGCCGTGGCTGTGGTGCTGTTGTGTCGTTGATATGTCTTCGTTGTGTGATTATTGTGTCGTTGCTGTGTCGATGTTGTGTCGTTGCTGTGTCGCTGTTGTGCCGTTGTTGTGTCGTTGCTGTGTCGTTGCTGTGTCGTTGTTGTGTCGTTGTTGTGTCGTTGTTATGTCGTTGGTCTGTCGTTGGTGTGTCGTTGTTGTGTCGTTGTTGTGTCGTTGTTGTGTCGTTGGTGTGCCGTTGTTATGTCGTTGTTGTGGCGTTGTTGTGTATTTGCTGTGGCGTTGTTGTGTCGAGGTTGCGTCGTTGTTGTGTCGTTGGTGTGTCGTTGTCGTGTCGTTATTGCGTCGTTGTTGTGTCATTGTAATGTCGTTGTTGTTTCGGTGTTTTGTCGTTGTTGTGTCGTTGTTGTGTCGTTGTTGTGTCGGTGCTGTGTCGAAGTTGTGTCGTTGCTGTGTCGTTGGTATGTCTTTGTGGCGTCGTTGATGTGTCGTTGGTGTGTCGTCGGTGAGTCGATGGTGTGTCGCTGTTGTGGCGTTGTTGTGTCGTTGCTGTCTCGTTGCGTTATCGTTGGTCTGTCGTTGTTGTGTCGCTGTTGTGTCGTTGTTGTGTCGTGATTGTGTCGCTGCTGTGCCGTTGGTGTGTCGTTGGTGTTTCGTCGGCGTGTCGTTGGCGTGCCGATAGTAAATCGTTGATGGGTCGTTGGTGTGTCGTTGTTGTGTCATTGGTGTGTCGTTGTTGTGTCGTTATTGTGTCGTTGTTGCGTCGTTGCTGTGTCGTTGTGATGTCGTTGTTTTGTCGGTGTTGTGTCGTTGTTGTGTCGTCGTTGTGTCATGTAGTCTGTGTCTGTGCTGTTCTGCCTGATCTCCGAGGGAGGGTCCTGCTTTCTCGCCCTCGTCCTCGCCCCTCCTTGCCTCGACCTCCTACTCCCCGTCGTCTTCGTCATCGTCGGCCCCTCTGAGCGTTTGATCCTCTGTGCATTGATGTTCTGCTCGGTGATGTTCTGCTGCGCATAACTCGCTCAAACAAAAACGCAGATTGCTCCTCCCCGTCCTCCCTGGTAGACCTCGCCTCCTTGAGCGCCGCCAAATGCTCAAACGTCCATCGCATCCGTAGGCTCATGGGAAGTCCAGCGGAGTGGCGTCTTTCGCAGATGCAGACGAGGCCTCGCTTCCTTGAACGATACCGGCAGCGCCACTGTCGTCACCTTCGAGGGATTTTGGGGTGTCCAGCGGAGCTGTGGTTTGCGCAGATCCAGATGAGACTTCGCCTCCCGCCGCGCTGCCCACTCCGCAACGGTCGGCACTTGTGGGAGCTTCTGGGAGGTCAGCGGAGTGCGGTCCTACTCGCGCCCAGACTAATACACACGCCCGTCTGGGCGCTGCCGACTGCGCAACTTTCACCACCTTCGTGAGCTCCTGCGAGGTCCAGCGGAATAACGTCTTACGCCCGAAAGGTTGTTCTCTGTGATGCCGACTCTCATAGCTCGTCTCGGGACACACAGCGCGCAGGTCCCCCGCAGAAGGGAGAACGCGCTCCTGCATGATGTCGTTCGTATCAGGTGAGCCCGTGGATATCGCACTTCTTTCAGATTGGTTGCGTACGTCCCTGGGCAAGTGCACGGCATGGCCTTCAGAGCCTTTCGGCCCCGCCCGTGGGACATTGTCTGTCAACGCTGGCCGATCATTGCGGGTCTCATCGCCGAAAACGGCGCATTTGATGCCAGATCGCGGGACGCAAATTTTGACCTCCCCCCCATCAGGGCTGGTTCGCGCACGCGCGCGCGCCCCTGAGTCCGACGTTGTGGGAAAAACGACCACGTCGCGAGAAATCGTTATCAGAGCTATCTGCCCCGCCCGTGCGCAGGAGTCTCCGAGCTGCATCGGTCTGTGAGGACCCCGTGACCCGAAGCAGTGCAAAACAAAGAGCGCCCGTGGCGTGATGTTGCGAAGGCCTTATAGCCAGTGCCGCCGACCCTGAAGACGGCGACGACGAGGATGTTGAGCAGCAGGACGAGGAGGAGGATGCGGAGCAGGATAAGTAGGAGGGGCAGGAGCGGGTTGAGCATGGCGAGCATGAGGAGGAGGAGGAGGAGGAGGAGGAGGGGGAGGAAAAGGGCGAGCAGCAAAGATCGCCTCTTGGGGCGTGATATGTTCGCGACGACGGTATCTGAGGAGCGGCGTATCCCCAGGTGCACGCGGTGCTGGGCTTCCGCCTGCATCAGCCCACCGTGTACACGTTCCTGCGGCGCTACTTGCGGCGCACCGGGTGGACCGAGGACTGGGTTGCTCATGCTTCTCATCCGCATGTTTCCCGTCCCTCCTCGTCCCTCCTCCTCCTCCTCCTCATCCTCCTCCTCCTCCTCCTCCTCCTCCTCGTCCCTCCTCCTCCTCCTCCTCCTCCTCCTCCTCCTCCTCCTCCCCCTCCTCCTCCTCCTCCTCCCCTCCTCCTCCTCCTCCCCCTCCTCCTCCTCCTCCTCCTCCTCCTCCCCCTCCTCCCCCTCCTCCTCCTCCTCCTCCTCCTCCTCTCCTCCTCCCCTCCTCCTCCTCCTCCTCCTCCTCCCTCCTCCTCCTCCTCCTCCCTCCTCCTCCTCCTCCACCCGCCGCCTCCCACCCACCCCCCACCTGCCGCTCCTGCTCCTGCTGCTTCTGACCCTGGCCCTCCCCCCTTGAGAAGCAGCCTTGGGGGGGCGAGAGCCCCAGGGGGGCATTTCATCGACTCCCAATCGCCCAGTGATCACCGATGGGGCCGTAGCCCACCCCGCCCAGGACCGAACGGCTTCGCACTCGAGGCTTGTCGCCGATCTGTCTGCGGTGCAACGCCGATTCTTGGACGATGTTGCCCCCCCGCTGAGCTGGTCCCTCCCTACTGCAACGTCCCCCCTCACTCTTCTTCCGCCTCATGCTGCTCCGCCGCCATCCTCCTCAGCCCGTGCCTCATTCTGCTCGTTGCTACGCCCGCTCCATGGCCAATCCTCCTTTTAAAGGCTCCTCCCTTCGCTTCTTCTGCTCGTGGTCCTGCTCCTCGTCCTGCTCCTCGTCCTCGTGGTCGTGTTCCTCCTCCTCATCGTTGCCATTGCTCCTTCTCTTCGACGTGCGTTCGGGGCGACCCGTAGCTTCAGCCTCCTCCACCTTCCTGCCCACCCTTCCCCCCATCCCCCAGCCATCCCTCTTCACAGTCTCCTTCCTCTTCCTAGAACCCCCCTGCCTAAACAGACAAACTGCCAACTCAGAGAGCTGTCCTCCCTCCCCCTCCGCTTTTAGCAGAGGAGGGGAGGAGGAGGGAGAAAGGGAGGAAATGGGAGAAGGTACGAGGTAGGGGGAGGAAGAGGACAAGAGTAAACCCAGGATGCATCAACGCTCACCCGCCCGTCCCAAGTCACTTCCTCACCAGCCAGTACAAGCCATCCTACACTCTTTTGCACCATGGGAAAGGCCCCCTTGAAAGACGAGTGCTCCATGGGCCGTTCATTGAGGCGAGAGCCTTCTTTTTTACAGGGCTGGCCTGCATCCTTCGAGCCATGGAAAATTGGAAGAGGTAGGCCCTCCATTCGTGTAACTGGTGGATGCGTTCAGACCGAATTTGCACGGCGCTACGGCGAGAGCCACTGGATGAAAGCCACAAGCCCTCCATCCTTGCAAGTGCCGGGAGCCGTCTGAGACGAACGTGCGCGGCGCTCACGCGAGAACCACATTGTGCTAACCACTAGCCCTCCATCATTCCTGGTGGAACATTGAAGAATAAAGAAACGACTGTGCGGGGCGCTCAGGCGGGAGCCAATCTGTGTCACCGCTCGAAGTGTCCAGCGTGAGGGTCATCGGCGTCCAGAGAGCTGCAGGCGAAACGCACGGCTCGCCCTGGCGACACGTCTGGTTGTGTTGCGAGGAGGATTTGCCGTGGGGGCACTGGTTGAGGAACGTGTACCCATCGGTCGTTGGAAGTAGGTATTTTTGGATTCCCAAATTCCAATCTACTTTAAGCGCCTTCCTACTTCAATGATCGAGTTGCTTCCCCTTTTCCCCCCTCTTAGGGGGGCGGACGGAACCCAATCTACTGTCAACGCCTTCCTACTTCATGTTTCTACCTACTTCTTCCGACCGATGGGTACGGGAGGCTTCAGACCCTGTCCCTTATCTGATGAGGGCGGCGGAGGTGTCTATGGCCGATCCACGGTTGGAGTTCCATCGGCTTCCAGACCCTGGATTCCTTGCCCAGTGCCTCACTACCCCGTGCCCCCGCCGTATCGGCAATGAGGAGGGGCGGAGGAGGAGTCCTGTCCTCTCCCCCTCTTCCCAGGCCTCCTCGCCGCCGACACCTGCTGTAGCCGCCAGAGCAGCGGCGCAGAGCGGGGAGCGAGGCGCGAGGACCAAAGGGGAACCTCTGGTGACGACGGCCAGGGGCGCACGGGCACAGTCAGAAACGGCAGCCCACATCCACGTTTGCTCCGGATGCCGCGGTCGGCGCTTGTGGGGACGCTCCTCCTCTTCCTCCTCCTCCTCCCCGTCCTCCTCCTCCGTATCTTCCTCCTCCTCCTCCTCCTCCCCGTCCTCCTTCTTCTTCTCCTCCTCCTTGTCCTCCCCTAATTCGTTTATCTCTTGTTGTGGTGATGTCACCTGTCTTCCTTCGGAGTTGTTATTATTATTGATATCATTAGTATTGTTTTCCCTGCTCCTCGTCCTCCTGCGGATACCACACTTTGGGTGGTCGTCTCGATCGCCAGGGGAGGAATTGATAGACACACAAAGATGTCTCGCACAGCAATCCGTGGGGTCGTCTGCAAAAAGGTCTGGATCCTTCGTATAAGAATCCTAAAGTGCCCGTGGACGTCAACACGTTTTCTTGTTTATAGAACCCGTGCATTGCTCGTCGTCCAGACTCCTTGCAGTGTATGGAGCTTTTCCTCGCGCAGAGTCGCCGTCTGTGTGAGGCACGTGAGGCTGGAGGAGGGTCGACCTCAAAAAAAACTCCTCCTCCTCCTCCTCCTCCTCTTCCTCCTCCTCCTCCTCCTCCTCCTCCTCCTCCTCCTCCTCCTCCTCCTCCTCCTCCTCCTCCTCCTCCTCTTCCTCGTTTTCCCCCTGAGGTGTCCAGAGGCCCCTGGAGGCCTCTCTGGGCTTCCGCAGGCTCAAGGCGTCCAGAAGCCCCCCTCCCTCCCCCTCCCACGACGTGGGCCCCAGAGGCCCCGACCCTTCTCCCCTGGACCAGCTTCTCGACCTGCCTCGCTCTCTTTGACGGTCCCGGGGCGCGGTACGGGCCACCAGTCGTGGAACACTGCCACTCTCCATGCGTCGTGGTTACGTCGCGGCCCGGGGGGGGGGGGGGGGGGGATGGCGGGGCTTCCCGCGGCCATCCCTTGGGCTCCGCGCCCCCGGGGTCGCTGGGCGGCGCCACTCGCGCGAGGCCGCGCGGTGGATCTCAGGGCGTACACCGACGCCGATCCCGGCCCAGGACCACTGTACGCACAGGGCGTTCCAGAGAAGGCCTCGCTTCCTGCGCATCCTCGGTCTCGGCGGAAGGCCATCCGGGGCAGCGTTAGGGGGAGGGGAGGCCCAAGGGGTGGCACGTCCACCCCCAATCGGCGATAGGGGCCCGATAGCCTCCGCCGTCCAGGAACGTGCGGATTTGCTATCGGGGACACGTCCCCAATCGATCAGCAATATATTGCCGATTCCAGGTCCACGTTTCCCTCCTGGGCCGGTCCCCCCCTCACGTTCCCCTTGGGGCCAGCGGAAGCACGCAAGTAAAACTGCGGCAGCTCAACCAGCGGAAGGTGGCGGAAGTCGTCGTCGTCGTCGGAGTCGTCGTCGCGGTCGTCGTCGCGGTCGTCGTCGCGGTCGTCGCGGTCGTCGCGGTCGTCGTCGTCGTCGTCGTCGTCGTCGTCGTCGGCGACGGCGACGGCGACGGCGTCGGCGTCGGCGTCGGCGTCGGCGTCGGCGTCGGCGTCGGCGTCAGCGTCGTCGTGGCTGTCGTCGTCGTCGTGTCGTCGTCGTCGTCGCGGTCGTCGTCGTCGTCGTTGTCGTCGTCGTCGTCGTCGCGTCGTCGTCGTGTCGTCGCGGCCGTCGTCGTCGTCGTCGTGTCGTCGCGGTCGTGTCGTCGCGGTCGTCGTCGTCGTCGTAGTCGGCGTCGTCGTCGTCGTCCCCAATGGATCGGCAAAATACTGCCGATTCCAGGTCCACGTTTCCCTCCTGAGCCGTTCCCCCCCCCTCACGTTCCCCTTGGGGCCAGCGGAAGCCCGCCAGTAAAACAGCGGCGGCTCCGCCGGCGGAAGCCGTCGTCATCGTCGTCGTCGTCGTCGCGGTCGTCGTCGTGTCGTCGCGGTCGTCGTCGTCGTCGTCGGCGTCGGCGTCGGCGTCGGCGTCGGCGTCGGCGTCAACGTCGTCGTGGCCGTCGTCTTGTCCTCGTCGTCGTCGTCGTGTCGTCGTCGTCGTCATTGTCGTCGTCGTCGTCGTTGTTTTGTCGCGATCGTCGTCGTCGTCGGCGGCGGCGGCGTCGTCTTTGTCGCGGTCGTCGTCGTCGTCGTCGTCGTCGTCGTGGTCGCGGTCGTCGTCGCGGTCGTCGTCGTGTCGTCGCGGTCGTCGTTGTCGTCGTGTCGTCGCGGTCGTCGTCGTAGTCGTCGTCGCCGTCGTCGTCGTCGCGATCGTCGTCGTCGTCGGCGGCGTCGTCGTCGTGAAAAAAAGAAAGACGCCAGCATATTTGGGCCCGGTGTTCCGCCAACCAGCCCTGCGCCTACCTGCCTCGGCCAGGAGGGTGCACGACGGTCAAGAGCAGCCCTGGCCTTGGAGGGCTGCCCTTACAGTGCGGACCCATGCCAAGAAAAACATCCTTCTTGCCTCCAGAGTGCCCTGGGTTTCTTGGGTTTTGATGTTTTTGCCCTGGAAAGAGTGACGTCCCACTCCAAAAAACCATGGGCGTCCTGGGGTCTCAGGGTTGGCTTTCTTGTGGAAGGTTCCTTTTGGACTGGCCTCCACTGTGTCTTCCTCGTGCTCGGGCTCTCCACCTTGGCGGAGGGGCTCGTGCTGTGGAACCACCTTCTCGTGGCCGTGCTTTGACTTGTTCGCCCGCCCTGGGCCCGGGATGTGCTGCCAGCCAGGACCGGCGCAGGTCTTCGTGGGGCGCCCTCCTGCGAGGAAGGGAGACACGCCGGGCGCCGGCGGACGGCAACAGAGCCCCCTTAGCCTCCAGGTCGACTGCACCCCCTCTCGAGAATCGTCTTCATTCATGTGCAAATGTATACTTATATACATGTGTATATACATATATATATATGCGCACGTACATGTACATTATCCCAGAGCGACCCTATAGGAGTTGGAGCCCCGAGGAGAGCAAAATTAGTAAATTTGTAATAACGGTAAACGCCGTCCTCCTCCTTCTCCTCATCGTCGCAGTTGTAGCAGTAGCGGTAGTAGTAGTAGTAGTAGTAGTAGTAGTAGTAGTAGTAGTCATAGTACAGCTTAACACCTACATCTACATCTAGACCTACATCCACATCTACACCTACAGCTACATCTACATGTACACATGCCTCTACATCTACATCTACATCTACATATACAATTACATTCACATATACATCTACATCTACACCTACATGTACATCTATATCTACATCTACACCTACATCCACATCTACACCTACACCTACAGCTGCGCTATGCTGCGCTATGCTATGCTAGGGTATGGAAGGCTGCGCTATACTATGCTGTGCTATACTAGGGTATGCTAGGCTGCGCTATGTTATGCTAGGCTATGCTATGCTATGCTATGTTGTGCTTCGTTCTGCTATGCTGTGCTGCGCTACGCTATGCTATGCTATGCTGCGCTATGTTATGCTAGGCTATGCTATGATATGCTATGCTGCGCTATGCTATGCTATGCTATGCTGCGCTATGCTATGCCATGCTATGCTGCGCTATGCTATGCTATGCTATGCTATGCTATGCTGCTCTGTACTAGGCTAAGCTATGCTATGCTATGCTATGCTGCGCTATGCTATGCTATGCAATGTTATGTTGCGCTATGCTATGCTGCGCTACGCTATGCTATGCTATGCTATGATGTACTATGCTATTGTATGCTATGATTCCCTACCTAGGCTCTGCCTAGAGGTTTCTTACTCTATTTCTCAAAGGGGCCGGGCAGTGCACACCGCCCCGGGCGGTTCCCCCAGTATCCGCCCCGCCGTTCCCCCAGTTACGTCCCCTTAGCTTAGCGTTGCTTATCTCATCTTAGCTTTGCTTATTTCATCTTAGCTTAGTTTAGCTTCATCTTAGCTCAGGTGTATCTTAGCTTAGCTTACCTTCATCTTAGCTTCGCTGAGCTTTAGCATAGCAGAGCACAGCATAGCATAGCGTAGCATAGCATGGCGCAGCACATCATATCATAGCATAGCCCAGCATAGCATTGCATAGCGCAGCATAGCATAGCATAGCATAGCATAGCATAGCATAGCGCAGAACAGAACAGCATAGCACAGCGCAGCCTAGCATAGCATAGCAAAGCAGAGCATAGCAGAGCATAGCATAGCAGCAAAGCAAAGCAAAGCAAAGCAAAAGCAAAAGCAAAGGAAAGGCAAAGCAAAAGCAATGTGCGACAGATGCCTACCTAGGCTCTGCCTAGAGGGTTAGCTTAGCATAGCGCAGCGCTGGATTAGCATAGCATAGCATAGCATAACATAGCCAAGCATAGCATCGCATAGCATAGCATAACATAGCATAGCATAGCATAGCGCAGCTTAGCATAGCATAGCTAGCGCAGCATAGCATAGCGCAGCATAGCATAGCATAGCATAGCATAGCGCAGCATAGCATAGCACAGCGCAACATAGCATGACATAGCATAGCATAGCATAGCAACTAATGCTGTGTTCCTAGGGGCTCCAACTTCTAGGTAGGGTCGCACTGGGGTAATATGCTAATGCTGCGCTAAGCTGGGCTAGGCTAAGCTAAGCCAAGCTAGGCTAGGTTAAGCTAAGCTCAGCTAAGTTAAGCTAGGCTAAGCTAAGATGAGATAAGCAACGCTAAGCTAAGGGGACGTAACTGGGGGAACCGCGGGCGGATACTGGGGGAACCGCCCGGGGCGCTTTCCACTGCCCGGCCCCTTGAAGCCCAGAGAGTAAGAACCCTTCTAGGCAGACCCTAGGTAGGGATTAAGCATACACACATACAAACACATATACATAAACATATGTATATGCATGTACATGTACATATACAAGTACGTAGACATACATATGTATACATATATATATATATATATATATATATATATACATACATACACATACACACACGTGGGGAGGGCCTGTAAGTTGGCACCGCGAGCAGCAGCTTGGCGGCTTGCGGCGGGGGGGCCGGGCGCGGAGGGGGGAGCAGCTTCCTCGGGAGGCCGGGGAGGGCCCTCCGACAGGGCGGGGGAGTTCTGCTTGGCTTCGCCGCTGGCTCGGCTGGCGCCGCCTGCTCTCGCCTTGGCGTTCGCTCGCTCGCACGCTCTCGGGCCGCGCCCCGCCGCGGCCGCGGCGGTCGGGCGCCTCGTCGGGCGGAGGAGCGCTCGCGGAGCGCGAAGGGCAGAAAGGCGGAGGGGGCGGGAGGCTTCAGGGTACGCCTCCCCCGCTTCTGGGAGGCCTTCCGGGGAGCAGTCGGCCCTTCCGAGAGGCCGGCCTGCCTTCTCAATTGGCCCCCCCCCCCCGCCCTCTCGGGAGGCGGCCTCCCTCGCGCCCCCCCCCCCCCCCTTGGGCGCGCCGCCTGACAACTCTCGCTACCCAGGGAATACGACCCCCGATCGCAGTGGGGCGGCTTGGAGCACCTTGTAGCTAAATCGAGGCCTGCATCCTGAGAAGGTCCCACTATTTCCACAGACGCCAAAAGCGTGGGCCCGCCTCCCTCGGTGCAGGCTGCCCCCGATCCCGGTCGTGGTGTCGGTTTCTCAGCCTCCGTGAGAAAGGATCAGTCGTGATTTTGTTTTCTGGTACCCGTCCAGGGAGACCTGGCATTTCCGCAGCACGCTCACGCAATGGATCGGCCTGCTCTTCGGGGATGGGGCCATCCTCTGCATCATCGGCGCCTCGTTCGCTATACTGCGCATGCCAGACCTGGCGCCAGACAGGGAGAAGAGGTCGCGTTTCGAAGCCGAGCTTGTGAATACTCCTGCAGGCGGCATCGCTTTTACCATATGAGCCGATTGCGGAGTCCTTGAGGTCTTGAACCTCGGATGTAAAGGCCATTATGGTTTGGTGCCCATCTCGCAGGTCTTGGAGAATTGTGCGCGAAGCTGTTGGACTCGAGGCGTTGATGTCGTACTCTTTAAATGTAGTTTGCGTTATGTTCTGCAACATCAAGACAATAACAGGCTAAGGGAAATAGACGGACCGTACCTAGAAATATTGCTTGTATGGGGGATGGCGACCCTTGGTGGGTTAGCATTAACTGTCGGCGGCACATTAGATTGCATCATCAACAATGCATGGCAGTGCAGCAAAGTTAGTCCACGTGGTGGGTAAGTGTGGCTAACATGTCTGGGGGGTATGGGCTTCTTCGTGGTAGGTGTCACAGGGCGTTCATCACCATCGCATTAGACATCCAAGTTACTGCTGGACTATATCTATTGTGAAGGCCTGACGGCCGGTGCCGCCGGCCCTGAAAGACATCGACGAAGACCAGGAGGGTAAGGAGGAGGAGAAGGAGGAGGAGGAGGCGGAGATGAGGAGGAGGAGGAGAAGGAGAAGGAAAAGGACTCCCCACTGGGACCACCCGCGGGGAGGAGGACCGGAAGAGAACCGGCGTGGGAGAGGGGAGGGGAGGGGGAGGAGGACCCCTGGGGACGGATGCGTATCTGACTCCCCTCCTCCCCCTGGGGACTCTTCCCCACCTGTGGAGGAGGACCCGAGGAGGACTGGCGCGCCCGAGAAGGACCGGCGTGGAAGAGGACCCCCAGAGGCGATGCGAATTTGACCCCCCTCCCCCCCCCTGACCCCCCCCCCCGGCAGGGAAGGGACAAAGGGAAGGGGCTTCCCTTTGACGCAATGAGGACGTGGATGGAATTCCCTCCAGCTGCGAACCAACGAGGAAGGTTGCTCTCTCTCTCTCTCTCTCTCTCTCTCTCTCCCCCCCGACGGGAGAGGAGGATGGTAAGGAGGGGCCGAAAGAAGGCCCCCCGTCGACGGGACTGGACAGACACCCCACACACGCCGACAGGGTCGGCGGATTTACTCGGTTCGGTTCCGTTCCTTGTAGGCACCGAGAAGGCTTTGGATGTGGAAAACGAGCAGTATGGTTTGGCCCGCTTGCCTGCGCTGAACATGCCGTGGGTGCTGATCAACTCCGAGGTTCCATCAGTGACACGATCATGGGCATGCACGCAGGGTACGGAGGCGGCAAATCCTCCACTTGGAAGTTGCCGTGGCACTTCATGTACGAGTTCCTGGCCGCAGTGGCTGTGATGCGCACAGCCATGACGAAAGGACTCAAAGACCAGCCGTTCAATTCTGAAGCTCTGCAGTCTGGATAGATCTTCTCTCTCACGGCACACTGCTCCTGGGTGCGGTAATCTACCACATTCCCACGAAGCGCATGTTGTCGCTATACATGCGAGGGTGACTTTTGCTTTATATTCTCGGTGAGGTGTGGTCCGTGGCTTTGCAGCTCACGGACTTGTACAACTATTGATACGCACGTCTGGCTCGCGCGAGATTATCCACGTCCTCATCCTCCCGAGTTTCCCATATCTGTTCATGCTACAGCTCCTTCTCCCCGTCCCATCGCCTCTCCTCAACATCCTCCTCGTGTGTTTGTTCGCCATATGGGCCCCCGAGGCTGGTTTTGTCGCCCTTGGTTGTGCTTGACTGTCCTGGGGACCGAAGGCAGCCCCAGGAGGCCAAAATAATTGAAGAAATCAGGACCGTCTGCATCTCTTCGCGATGCGCCCAGGAGAGTTTCAGCCTCGCGAACTACCTGATCGAGCTCGCCGCCATCGATTCGGGCTTCCTGGCGTACCGGCCCCAGGCCATCGCGGCGGCTGCCGCGGTGCAGCCCGCAGCCCCCTTCGGAAGGCAGTCAAGCGGAGGAGGACGAGGGAGCAGAGATGCACGACGAGGCCAGGCGAAATGCAGACCCTAGCATCCGGGCGTCGTGGAAAAAAAGGCGCTGCCATGCTTGCTCGTTTTCGTCCACCCCGCGCCCCTTCCCATCCCCGAGATCCTCTCAGATCGATCCGGCTCGGAAAATATTGCACACAGGCTGGGCCAAGACTTTGGGACATGAGTTTTCATGGCGCAGGCATGTTTGTCACGACGTCGGATTTTTCTGGGAGTCGCAGAGGGAGAAGGAAGAGGAGGAGCGGCGAGGAAAAGGGGCGCAGGTGGGGGGAGGGGGAGCCGCAGGAGTGGCCCGCCAAAGCGGCGCGAGAAGCTGATCCATGACTTCGCTCCTCCTCCTCCTCCTCCTCATCCTCCTCCTCCTCCTCCTCTTCCTCCTCCTCCTCCTCCACCTGCTCCTCCTCCTCCTCCTCCTCCTCTGCTCCTGCTCCTCCTCCTCCTCTCCATCCTCCTTCTCCCCCTGTTCTTCCTCCTATTGCTCATCCTCCTTCTCCCCAAGGACACCCGAGGACAGCCTAAAGGACCCCCAATCGGAGAATACCTTTTTTGATACCTATACGACCACCCTTCGGTTGATAAGGAGACTGGGGAGAACCAACTGCTGGCAACTGCGAAGGGTGTGATGATGGCGATGCCGGTGGCGCCCACTATCGATCGCATTATCGATTTCACTATTAATCGCAATCGATCGCACCATCGACCTCACTATCGATTGCACTATCGATGCAACTATCAATCTCACGATCGGTATCGCTGCCGCTCGCACGATCGATACAACTACCGATGTCACAATCGAACTCATTCTGAATCCATACATCGATCTCACTACCGATCTCACCACATCTCGGTCGTTATCGATCTCACTATCGATCGGGACACCATGGACACCACCGCGGGACACCATCGGGACAACGCGGGACACCATCGGGATACCGCGGGACACCACGGGAAACCACGGGACACCACGAGACACCATCGGGACACCACCGCGGGACAGAGATCCGGTCTTTTTACAACCCGAACGACACTATACAACCGAGATGGGTCATTGTACAACCAGCAAAGGATCGAACCCCCTGGCTTTCTTTGAGAAAGACCATTTCACAAGCAGAGCAGTCCACTTTACAAGCAGAACGGCCACTTTACAACACAGACGGGGCTCTTTGCAACCAGAACGGCCACTTTACAACCAGAGCGCGCGCGCGCCGTGCCGGGGCTTCTGAAGTTTATGAGCACCTGAATGGTCTGCAGAGGCATCTGAGCGCCCGAGCGCTTGGCAGAGGCTTCTGAAGCTCCTGGGCGCTGTGCAGAGGTATGCATCTGAGCGCCTGAGCGCCTGAGCGCTTTGCAAAGGCATCTGAGCGCCTGAGTGTTCTGCAGAGGCCTCTGAGCGCCTGAACGCTCTGCAGAGGCTCATGAGCGCCTGGGCGCTTCGCAGAGGCTTCTGAGCGCCTGAGCGCTCTGCAGAGGATTCTGAGCGCCTGAGCGCTTTGCAGAGGCGTCTGAGCGCCTGGTCGCGTTGCAAAGGCTTCTGAGCGCCTGAGCGCTCTGTTGCCTCCGCAAAGCGAGAATACAAGTGCTTGCGATGCCAAAAAATACAGATTGAATTCCGCATGCAGTGGCTAGAATTGAATCAACGATTTCTTGGGCAGTTTCGCCCTCCTGGGTACGCATGCTTCCGCATGTGCTCAAACATACGGTTTGTCGATTGCCAGACGATGGGGCGCGAGGACAACCATAGCCTGTGATGCAAACACACACAATTTGAAGTCCACACGCGTCCGCTAGATTTGTACAAACGGCTTCGTGGCCACAGTCCTGCCCTCCTGGGTACGCATGCTTCCGCGAATGCGAAAACATGCTGTTGTGCGATTGCCAGACGATGAAGCGCGGGGACGAAAATTGTTTGTGATGCCAAACAACAAATTGGCATCCACAAGAAGTGGCTCGAATGTTACCCTCGATTTCGTGGCCACGTGTCCTCCCCCCTGGGCACGCATGCTCGCAATTGCGAGACACATACGGCTTTCGTGGTTGCCAGACAATGAGGCGCGGGAACAAACATGGCCTATGATCAAACACACACACACACACACAAATAGAAGTCCACACGCATTGGTTAGATTGTTACAAACGGTTTCGTGGCCACATTCGTGCCCTCCTGGGTGCGCATGCTTCCGCGAATGCGAAAACATGCTGCTTTGCGACTGTCAGACGATGAAGTGCGAGGACGAAAATAGTTTGTGATGCCAAAAATAACCCGTTGGCATCCACAAGAAGTGGCTCAAATGTTACCCTCGACTTCTTGGCCACGTTTTCCGCCCTCCTCGGCACGCATGCTCGCAATTGCGAAAACATACGGCCTTCGTGGCTGTCAGACAATGAGGCGCGGGGACAAGCATGGCCTATTATACAAAACACGCAATATGATGTCCACGCGTGTCGGCTAGAGTTTAACCAACGTGTTCGTTTCCACATGTCCGCCCTCTTGGGTACGCATGCGACCGCGAATGCGAAAAACATACGGTTCTGCGATTGCCAAGCGATGATGCGCGAGGACGAAAGTTGTTTGTGAGACCAAACGCGCAAGTTGAAATCCATATGTATCGGCTAGAACGTTGCCAAAGATTTCTTGGCCACATTTGCGCCCTCCTAGTCGCGCATGTTTCCGCAACGTGTGAAAACATTTTTTTGCGATTGCCAGACGATGAGCCGCGATGGCAAGCATGATTACATATGCAAAAAAACAACCATTTGAAAACCCACCTGTGCGGGCTAGAAATTTACCAATGAATTCTTGGCCACATTTCCGCTTACCTGGGCGCGCATGTTTCCGCACATGCGAAAACATACGGTTGCGTCGTTGCCAGACGATGAGGCGCGAGGGCAAAAGATGACTATGAGGCAAAATGAAGCCTGCATGTATTGGCTAGAGTGTTACCTACTTCTTCGCCGCATGTCCGCTCTCCTGGGAGCGCGCGTGTTCCTGTGCGTGCGAACGCTTGCTGTTCTCTACGTCCAGAAGAAGCAAGAGTTCAGGCAGAGGTTACGAGGCTCCAAGAAACGATGTATATTGAAGACATGGATGTAGAAAAAAACGTGAACCGCCCAGGCCTGTCACCAGCCCGTAGCGGGAGGATATTTAATGGATCGCAAGTGGTTCGAATATCTCATTTTGGATACCACCACGAATAACAATAGGACGCCAATCGGGGCAAAATATTAGTCAAAGAGGACAGATGTGTGTCGAGTGTTGGGTCCTGATGGGATTCCAGTAGTAGACCCGTATGGATCGAAAAGGAAGGATGCCGATTGGATTCCAATGCGATATTCTTCGTATTCCCCAAAATGGTTCTGATGGGATTCCAAGGAAACCGTTTCTTATTGTTTTCGAATGAGAACCCACGGGAATACCCACCGGGCTTCCATACATTACACCCGGTGCGTTTCCCGCAGCATTCCAATAGTAAGTTTTTTCGAGTGTATCCCAATGAGGTGTCCAATCGGTTTCCATTAGGAAGGGCCCCAACGGGCTTCAATGGGAAGCATCCCAACCGAATTCCAATAGGAAACCCGTAGGCCCATATCCAGGAATCTTGCTGGATACCAATAGTTTCATATGGTGCCAACAGGATCCCCGCGGGAAGGGTAGCAATAGGATTTCACCAGGATTCTTTTTGTATCCCATTAGGAACCCGCCACTGCGCATATTCTCGCTTCAGACAGGTCGCTTTGCTCCCAACACGCTTCTGAGAGCGAAGTGTCTCCCTTACGTAGACCCACGGAGATATCGGAAATTGAAAGACATGTGTCGTTTATGTGCGTTTACCCGCCTGGTTGTAAAGTGGCCTTCCTGGTTGTAAGGTGCCCTTCTGGGAAAACCCATGCTGGTTGTAAAATGCCCCATCTGGTTGTAAAGTGGCCGATCTGGTTGCAATGTGACCCACACGCCAGCGGGACACCGCGGGACACGATCGGGACAACGCGGGACACCGCGGCGGGACACCCCCAGCCACCGCGCGCCCACCGGAAGGCTGGATTTTTGCATCCAAATCGCCCCAGCGACGGCAGGATCATTTCTCTCGCGCGCTCACGCAGCTTCGTTTCGCCCGCACGTGCGACACGAACACGAAAGCGGGCCTTCCGTTCCACTGCGACCTCACCCCCAAATTTCCGATCCCAGACCGTTTTCTGAAACCCGCGGGGGCCCGTAACGGGCTTCCAGATGCCAAACGCTTGAAACAAGATTGCCGCTTCGAAGTTTGCGCAACGCCCGGAGGGCACGGTCGGACGGGGCTAGGACGAGGATGAATCGTTCCAGAGCGTTCCGCGGCGCCAGAGACATCCTCTGGAGCCACTGGATCTTGGAGATTCTCGATTCATCCTCACTCAATTTATCCTCGTCCTGGCTTCGTCGTGTGGAGGGTATGGGAACTCCTCCCCCGGCGCTCCCACGTCGCACGGGAGAGCGCATCCCGAGGCGCGCCCAGGTCTGCATGGGAGGAGGAGGCCTGGAGAGGTCTTGGTTGGAGTGAGGTTTCTCCACGCGTGCATGCTTTATGGACGGGGGCGGGAGGGAGGAGTGAGTTGACTACACATAAGGGTGTCCCTTCGCTGGAGTGATCTTTGGTGCGGGCCCAGCTGGGTCCCCCGATCGCCGAACGCGACGCGATAGTGGCGTCTTGCGCGCTTGTGTTTGGGCCCCCCGCGGCCCCCCAAAAGCCGCGCCCCAAAGGTCACCCTTATCCGCAGATGCCACCTGTAGACCACCACCGTGCCCAGCCAGGGCCACCCTGGGCTCCACGATAGTGTATAGACCCGTCTGGCCTCGGCCAGGAGGCATATACACCATGCCAGGGCCCAGGATGGCCCTGGCCAGAAAAGGTGGTGGTGTATAGATGCCTTCTGCGTATCTTACCCAGGGTCCCTCCGGCGTGTAGCCGACGCATGCTTAATGGACCGGGGGGGAGGGAGGAGTGGGGAGGAGGAGCAGGTTGTAGCAGGCTCTTCGGGGCTCGCTAAGTCGCTGGCAGACCGTCGGCCCCAATATGAATATATAGATGCGTAGCACCCCGCAGTTGCGGATAAGAGTGAGGGGGCGGCGGGAACGTCTGCAGTCTGCGAGGCTTTGAAGAAGCCCGCCGCAGGCGCAAAATTCTCAAGCTATACAACGAGCCCACCGCAGGCGCCGATTCTTTTGTTAAAACAATGTAGGTGGGTCGCGGGTTGTTGGGTCGCAGGTGGGTCGACGGTGAGTTGCGGGTGGGTCGCAGGCCAGGTCGTGGGTGGGTCGCGGGTAAGTCGCGAGCGGGTCGCGGGGTGGGTCGCGGGTGGGTCGTGGGCCGGGTCGTGGGGGGGAAGACGACAACAAGCAAACAACAACAACAACAACAACAACAACAACAACAACAACAACAACAACAATTACAACAACAACAACAACAGCAACAGCAGCAGCAGTAACAACCGTAACAGCAACATCAACTATAATAGCAACAAAGCAACAAGCAGAATCCTCATCACGGATCCGCACTTGAGCCACGCACCCAGGGACAATGAATGACCGTTCGCCACCTTCATTCTGATATGTGTATATACATGCATGCATACAAACATACATAAACACATATACCAATATGTGTACGTATGCTGCAAGTGTGTGTGTGTGTGTGCATAACTATACTTGCGTTCCTGCATAATTATATAAAAATATCGTGTACATATATCTGCATATATATTTATGTTAAAAATATCACTGTGCATATATGTGTGTACAAAGACAACTGAATACATACATGTATGCATATACATCTATGTATATGTACACATATGATTGAGGACATCTTTTCGGAGAAGACCGCGCTGGGCGAGCCAGTGGCGGCATGCGCGCGAAAGAAAGAGAGAAGAACAAAAAGAATGAGCAGGTTGGACAGGGGCGGAGGTGCAGGCGAGGTTGAATACTAGGTCGACCCTGCCAGACGAAGGATATACTCGCGCCCCGTGTGTTCGCGACCCGTGCCTTCTACATTCCTGCGGCAAGGTGGCCCTCGGAAGGGTCTTGTGCCCTCTCGCGTGTCCTCTCCGATCGACCCCGCTTGCAGAGGAGGGCTCGTCCGCCCCCGGGCGGCTCCCGGCGGCGGGCCGGCGCGCGGCTCCCTCCCCCGGCCTCGCAGGTGCTGAGCAGGCAGTACCTGTCCCAGGGGATCAGCGTGCGGCACATTCCGTGCTGGAAGGCCCGTCCCGTGGCCACGCGCAGAGGTGGGCAGGCGGGGTGGGCGGAGGGCTTCTTGGCAGCACTCCTGCCTCTCGGAAGGCGCGGGCCTCCTCTGCAGATGGGAGGCCTGCGCCCCCTGAGAAGCGGCCTCCCTCTGAGAAGCCCTCCCCCCGCCCTCCGCACCGCCCCCCTTGTGCGCGCCGCCAGCCAGGGCTGGGGGGTCAGCCTCTCTCGCCGCGAGAGAATTACGGCGGAAGGCTTTTGCCCGTTTTCGGCCTCCAGGGGCCCTCGCCGGGCCCCGGGATCGCCAGAAGCGCTCAGGACGAGAGCTGGCCCCGGGGAAGGGGCCCCAGACTTCTGGGGGAGCCGTGCGGGGACCAAGCACGGCAGCGGACGGGGGCCAGGGCCGACGGGAGTCGGGCAGCGTAGAGAGGTCACCGCGCGTCGTCGAACGAGAAATGGCAGCGGGCATACAGTCGGGGCGCTGGAGAAGGAACCTTTTTCGTTGGGGAGGGGCTCCGTGTTCCTTAAGTGTTTCACAGCTTGCCTCAGGTTTTCCTTACGTTTTCGACACGAAGTCGAAGTTTAACTTATGGAAGATAGGGGCCTCGTTCCTGATTTAGGGTTCCTTAGGTCAACGCCCCGACTGTAAGCCGCTGGAGCTCCGCGCGGAGGTCGTGGAGCGGGGCCGGGCCCCCTCCCTTTGGCGCGGCGGGGGGGGGGGGCGCCCGTGAGGCGCCCCGAGGGCGGGCCCGAGGCGCCGAGATCCACGAGAAATCCGCGGAGAGCGCCACGGGCTCACGCGGATGCCGCGGGCCCTGCTTGCAGCAGAGGGGGGGCCTCCTCCTCCTCCTCCTCCTCCTCCTCCTCCTCCTCCTCCTCCTCCTCCTCCTCCTCCTCCTCCTCCTCCTCCTCCCTCCTCCCTCCTCCTCCTCCTCCTCCTCCTCCTCCTCCTCCCTCCTCCTCCTCCTCTCCTCCTCCTCCTCCTCCTCCTCCTCCTCCTCCTCTCTCCTCCCTCCTCCTCCCCCTCCCCTCCTCCTCCTCCTCCTCCTCCTCCTCCTCCTCCTCCTCCTCCTCCTCCTCCTCCTCCTCCTCCTCCTCCTCCTCCTCCTCCTCCTCCTCCTCCTCCTCCTCCTCCTCCTCCTCCCAAGATGGGGAGCTCGTCCCGAGTTCTCCGGGGTCGAGGCGCGAGGAGGTCTTCGGACGTTTTGGGGGGCCGTCTGGGGAGGGGTGCTCTGCCGGGGTGCTCGCGGGGGCGCCCCTTCCTCGAGGAGGCGGCGTCCCTTCCCTCGAGGACGTGGTGGCACCCCCTTTCGTTGTGACCCCCCCACCCCTCTGGTATGGCCTGGACCTGGCATCGCTCGGACGTGTGCGTTCATTCTCGGCGAGGATCATCGAGGAGCCTTGTGGGTCATCTTCGGTAGCAAACCACGGGTGCCTGGTATACCCTCTTCATTCCGTCTTTAGCGTCGTTTAGCGTCGATTAGCGTTTGGGAGTCGATGGGATAGCGCCGATTTAGCGTCGACTAGCGTCGATTTAGACTCGATGAGCGTCGACTTGAGTCGATGAGCGACGATTCGCAAGAGCCGAGTCCGAGCGATGGCGGGTGGAGGAGCGGTCCTTTGACCCAAGGTTCGAAGAACAAAAAACAGCACACACATAAACTGGTGGCGGTCCGCGCGCATTTCTTGGATCGGCGCTGGGACCCCCTGGCAGCGCATCCGGCGCCGCCCCTGGCGCGCTCCGCGCGCCAGGGAGGGGGGGTCCAGCTCAGACCCAAGAACTCCGCGCGGACCGCCAAAAGTTTCTGTTGATTCAGTTGTTTGTTCATCTACCTCAGGACGTGTGTTAGCCCAACTGGGCGACGCAAGAAAACGGGGTCGTCTGCGCCGACATTTGCGCGTGAGCTGCCCGCGCAAGGTCGCGCGTAAGCGCCCAGTCTCCAATGTGGCGTGCCGCGCTGGCGGCCCGCGTCAGCCACCGCGTAAGGTCGCCATGCCATCTCGCGTCAGACCCCTTCGCTTTCGTCGCTCGAGTGTGCACTTGCCCCGCTCGGCCCTGGCGACGGCCCGCCGCCCGTGTCGGCCCTGATGGCACCGCCCGCGTCGTACACGGAAGGGCTCCGGTGGAGAAGCACGGCCGGGACCCCCGGCCGGGGGTACGCACGGCAGCGCTTGCACGAGGGAGCGTGGAAGCCGGCTGCATGTCCCCTCCTCGCCCGCCTCCTGCTCCTGTTCCTCTCCTCTCCTCGGCCTCATCCTCCAGATCTGCATCAGGAGAGAGGGAGAAAGAAAACCAGAGAGAGAGAGAGAGAGAGAAAGAGACACACCAACACACAGAGACAGAGACGAAAGGAGAGAGAGAGAGAGAGACGCACGCACACACAGACTGACAGAGACAGAGACAGAGACTGAGAGAGAGACCGAGACAGAGTCAGGGAAAGGCACACACAGAGACAGGGAAAGAGGGAGAGAGGGAGACCGAGAGATCGAGAGAGGCAGAAAAAAACAAACAGAGACAGAAACAGGGACGGCAAGAGAGAGCGACACACATATATACATACGTACGTATACATTTAGAGAGATCTGATGAACAAAGGAGGGAGAGAGAGAGAGAGAGAGAAAGAAAGAAAGAAAGAAAGAAAGAAAGACACAGAGAGACAGCGAGAGAGAGATATAAAACAAATAAGGAGAGAGAGAGAGAGACAGAGACAGAGACAGAGACAGAGACAACGACATATACAGAGAGGAGAGGGAGGCAGGCAGGGAACGACTTGAGAGGAGGGAGGAGCTGGAGAAAGAGCCCAGACCCCCAACGCCTTGAAGCGGCCAAGCAAGCCAGGACTCTCACAAATTTCGGCCCGAGGCCATGGTTCAAAAAAATTGCCCACCTGGCCGAAAACGGTCGCCTCCAGGGAGGAGATCGAGGGGCCCAGGGTGCACAAAAAAACAGAGGCCTCGCTCACGAAGCAATGAGGTTCGCGCGGCCTGCTCGGGTCGGAGCCAGGGCTTCTTGTATGCCTACCCCGAAGGAGGAGGAGGAGGAGGAGGAGGAGGAAGAGGAGGAGGGGAGGAGGAGGAGGAGACGGGAAGGGGGATGGGAGGAGGAGTGAGGGAGGAGGAGGAAGAAGGAGGAGGAGCAGAGGAGGAGGAGGAGGAGGAGAAGGAGGAAGGGGCGGAGAGGCAGGAGGAGAGGAGGAGGAGGATAAGGAAGGGGGAGAGGAGAGGAGGAGGAGGGAGGTAGGAAGAGAGAGGAGGAGGCGAACGGAGGAGGAGAGCGGAGGCAGAGGAGGAGGAGAGAAGAGGAAGGGCGGAAGGAGGAGGAGGAGGAGGAGGAGGGAGGAGGCAGGAGGAGGAGGGGGAGGGGGAGGGGGAGGAGAGGAGGAGAGGAGGAGGAGGATAGGAGGAGAGAGGAGAGTAGGAGGACGGGGAGGAGGAGGACGAGGTAGGAGGAGGAGGATGGAGAGGAGGAGAGGCAGGAGGTAGGAGGAGGACTAGGAGACGAGGAGACGAGGACGAGGACGAGACGAGGGAGGAGGAGGAGGAGGAGGTAGGAGGAAGGAGAGTAGGAGGAGGAGGAGGAGGAGAAAGGAGAAGGAGGAGGAGGAGGAATGGAGGGGGATGGGAGGAGGAGGAGAGGAGGAGGAGGAGGAGGAGAAGGAGAAGGAGAACGGAGGAGGAAGGAGGAGTTGGAGGGGGAGGGGGGAGGAGGAGGAGGAGGAGGCGGAGAGGAGGAAGGAGGAGGAGGAGGAGGAGGGGCAGGAGGAGGAGGAGGAGGAGGAGGAGCAGCAGCGGCAACCCGAGCGCTAACTAACGGCAGGGTCGCGTCGTGTTGACAGGCGGCGACCCCGCCGCCAGCGTTCCACGTGGAACGCCGCCAGGGACCCAGAGTCGGTCGATGTTGAGCGATCTGATGTTTCGGAAACGGCCGATATCGTTCAAGGTGGAACGATTCCCACGATGTCAGGAGCCAACGCCGAAGTCGGCACGGCACGGACCTGCCGTACTGATGTCGGCCTGCAGGGAGGCGCTTCCGCACCCCAAGACCACCCAAAAAAACGAACCCCGGCCGGCGCGGTTCCCCCACATGCCCTAAGTTGGGCATGTCCCTCTACAGGAGAAATATTCAATAATAGTTGAAAAATAGTATGGTGACGATTGTTGTGCTTTTTGTTAGAATTCTGTGTTAGCTATTTCCAAAACCCGCCTGTAGGAGGACATGCCCGACCTTACGCATGCCCTCCGCTGTCGCGCCCGCCGGTCCACCCCCGTCTGGAGCGAAGAAGGGGCCCCAGTGACCCCGACCTCCGATGCCATCGGGATGCCTTGATATGTTCCACTCGGGGTCCCCATATGCTTAAGTCAGGCATGTCCCTCCACAGGAGGAATATTGGGAAATAGTTTGGCAAAAATAATGTGGGGATGTTTTTTTACAAGTTTGCCTATCTTTGATCATATTTAAGCATTTCTGATTTATCTTCCAAAATCCGCCTGTAGGAGGACATGCCCGACCTAACACATGCCCTCCGCTGTCGCGACCGCCGCCCCCCCCCGTCCGGAGCGAAGAAATGGCCCCAGGGACTCCGACCTCTGATGCTTTGCTCTGCTCCCCTCGAGGTCCCTCTATGCGGAGGCCTCGCAGCCCATTGCGGGGGGGCCGCTCCTCGTCCTCGTTCGGCAGCACATCACGGGAGCCTGGTGTGGCCTGTGAATGCCGTTTTCAGCGTCGACTCGCGTCGATTAGCGTCTGGGAGTCGGTGAGAAAGCGCCGAATTAGTGTCGGCTAGCGTCGATTAATGATTAGCTTCGATTTAGCGTCGATGAGCGTCGATTGGCGTCGACGAGCGTCGATCCGCAAGAGCCAGCAAGATGGCATGGGAGGCTTCCATCGGTTGCCACCGAATCCTCGACAGCCCGCTGTACACCCCCTGTGCCCGAAAAGACGGCGCCCTGGGGCCCAGAGAAAACCGCACGGAGCGCCAAAAGCTTATGTTTATGCTCTGTCCTCTTCTTCTGCATGTGCAGGCCTGGCAGCCCACTGCGGGGAGGAGCCGCTCCTCGTCCTCGACAGCTCGCTGTACGCACCCACAGAGAGCCCGAAAAAACGGCGCCCTGGGGCCCAGAACATGTCGGGTGTTGCTAGAAGTGCCCCTGGCCCAAGGTACCCCCAGCTTTTCGCTCCATTTCTGGGCCCCTGGGGCCCTCTAAGGCTCGTTAGGGTGCTCCGGAAGCCGTCTGGGCCACCCCGAGAATCCTGGGGGCACCTTGGGCCAGGGGCACTTCCAGCAACACCCGAACATGCGGAGAGCACGAGCCCTGCCCCGATGCTTTCTTTCCGGCCGCCGGCGACGCTCGGGAGGCGGAGCGGGTCGGGGGTGTAGAGAGACGGGGGTCGATGCCAACAGAGGTCCGCCAGAGCGCCGGCTCTCCTGCCGGATCCTGCAGGATCCACGGCTGCACTGGCCGGGGCCAGCGCGGAGGAGCCTGCAGGCTCCCGGAGGATATCTTGCAGTGTCCGGTGGAGCGTGCTTGACCCGAGTTTGCATGGACCCGGGTCAGTAGAATCATGTCCTCTTCCTCCTCCTCCTCCTCCTCCTCCTCCTCATCCTCCTCCTCCTCCTCCTCCTCCTCCTCCTCCTCCTCCTCCTCCTCCTCCTCCTCCTCCCTCCTCCCTCCTCCTCTACCTCCTCCTCCTCCCCTCCTCCTCCTCCTCCTCCTCTCTTTCTCCTCCTCTTTCTCCTCCTCCTCCTCCTTCTCCTCCTCCTCCTCCTCCTCCTCCTCCTCCTCCTCCTCCCCTTTGCAGGGGGACTATCCAGAAATAGTCGAAAAGCAGTTTGGGGATTAGTATTTGTTCAGCATGCTGGGAGCATAATTCGAGCACTTGTTGATTATTTGTGCATTGTTTGTCCCAAATCTGCCTGCAGACATGCGACGCCCTGATTTTTTCAGGACGGCGTCCCTGGAAGTCCCGACCTTTCCCCGGGACCGGCTTGCCGTCCTGAGTCGTTTCTTGACGGCCCCGAGGCCCAGCGACGGCCCCCCGAGGCCGAAAATTCCCCAAAACCGCCCGTCCTGCTTTTGTTACGACGCGATCATCGGGAGTGGACAGACCTACCCTGACGCGTCGATTAAGGAATTGGCCGTTTTCGGTTCGCGAGAGGGCGTCGCGGCCGTCATTTTTGCGGTTCCAGGTCCATCGGTTTCGGTCCCAGGCCGTTCTCATTAAGGGGAGGCTTACTAAAGGGAGGTCTGTCCGCCGCCGAACCACACCCCTGTCCCAGATGGGAGGCCCGCGTGCCTTGCCTGCTGCATCGCTATGGCCATGGGGGCTCCGAGAGGTGACACGCCTGCGTCCACAGGCGGGCCCTCGACCTGCGAGCTTCTGCCAACCGGGGCCCGCACCAAAGGTCACTCCCCTTCTCCTCCTCCTCCTCCTCTTCCTCCTCCTCCTCCTCCTCCTCCTCCTCCTCCTCTCCTCCTCCTACTCTCCTCCTCCTCCTCCTCCTCCTCCTCATCCTTCCCTCCTCCTCCTCCTCCTCCTCCTCCTCTCCTCTCCTCCTCCTCTCCTTTCCTCCTCCTCCTCTCCCTCCTCCTCCTCCTCCTCCTCCTCCTCCTCCTCCTCCCTTCCCCCTCCTCCTCTTCTCCTCCTCCCCTCCTCTCCTCCCCCTCTCCTTTCTCTCTCACTCCTCCTCTCCTCCTCCTCCTCATTTCCTGAGCTCGGGGGACCACGCCCGCCGCGCCCGCAGACGCCCCCGCGGGCCCCGACGCCTCCGCGGGCTCTGCCGACCGGCCGGCGGGGCCTCCCTCCCTCCCCTCCTTCTCCTCCGCCTCCCCCCCTCCTCCCCCCTCCACCTCCTCTCCTCTCCTCCTCCACCTCCTCCTCCTCCTCATCCTCCTCCTCCTCCTCCCTCCCCTCCTCCCTCCCCCCCTCCTCACCTCCTCCTTCCTCCTCCCCCTCCTCCTCCCCTCCCTCCTCCTCCTCCTCCTCCTCTCCTCCCCCTCCCTCCTCTCTCCTCCTCCCTCCCTCCCTCCCTCCCTCCCTCCCTCCCTCCCTCCCCTCCCCTCCTCCTCCCTCCCTCCCTCCCCTCCCTCCCTCGGCGGCCAGTGGGCGCGGCCCCGGGAGGGCCCCCCCGGGCGCCGTGGGTGCCCACGGGCGTGGGCGCCCGGAGGTCGCTCGCGAGCCGCCTCCCGGGCACGACCGGGAGGAGGCGCCCCAGAGACCTTCGCGCGCCCCTGTTCGACGAGGCGTAAGAGTGACCTTTCGCCGGAGTGACCTTTGGTACGGGCACAGATGGGTGTCCAAATGGCCGAAAACGAGGCAGCCGCAGCTGCTTGCGTGCCCAGGTTTGGTCCCCCCGCGACCCCCAAAAAGTCGCGCACCAAAGGTCACTCTTACCCAGGGTCACTCCTGCGTGTAGCCGACCCTGTGGAAGTCGATCCATGGAGACGAAGCATGCTGCCAAATAGTTTCCCGATTTGTGCGCGTCATCCTGGCGAAGGGGCCATGCTAATCTACTCTGTATCGTTCCAATTCCAACGGGTGATCCCCGAAGGGGATCCAGCCAAATAGTTTCCAGGTGTCTAGAAGATGTGTCAAGCATGTGTTAAATACGTAAAGCATGTTTGAGACGTTTTTGGAACATGTGTTGCACATCTTGAACACATCTGTAATTCGATGATAGGATTGTTAGAGTGGCTAGTGTCATGGCATCCACAACTCGAGCCATGAAGAAAAATCACGGCGGGAGGTTTTGCCAAATGTTCGGCCTCTGGAGGCCCTCTCTGGGCCTCGGGGCCGTCAAGAACGACTCGGGCTGGAAGACCGGTCCTGGGGGAGTGGGTCCAGGCCTTGGGGGGTCGACGACATGAAAAAATCATGGCGTCGGGGGTCTGGGATTGGCGCAGTCCGAGGCTTCCTAGATAGGTCGGGTCGGAGCAGATGGGGTTGGAAGATCGCACCGCATCGCCGATGCCGATGCATCAGCGACGCGGCTGGATGTGGAGCCCGATTTGTGTCATGTCGACGTCGCCGGCGTCGACGATGCATCGCTGGTGCATCGCCGATGTACCGCCGATGAATCGCCGATGTATCGGCGATGCGGCGCGCTCCTCCGACCCCATCTACGAGGCCTCTAGCAGCGTCCTGGCTCGCCTGCAGGGCCGCCAAAAGAATGTTCTGAGAACCTTTCGTGATTTCCAGGGGATGTTCTCAGGACATGTCTGGCTGAGATGGTCTTGTTTTGGTGCATCGGCTGCACGTGTTCAAAAGATTGTAATTGTGATTAGAACGTCCTTGGTAGGCTACAGGCTACAGGCTACAGGCTACAGGACAGTTCGTGGCAGGCTACAGGCTACAGGAATGCCGGGACGGTCGGTCCCTGCTCAACGGGGGTGGAAGACGGGGCCGGCCTCCTCAGAAGGCGGCGGGGCTTCTCAGAAGCCCTCGCGCCCTCTGAGAAGCCGCCCGTGTCTCTGGAGAAGGCTTCACGAGGCTTCTCAGAAGTCGCGGGGGCTCCTATAGAGAAGCCCCGCCGGGGCCTTGGAGAAAGCCGGCCCCCTCTGCAGTCCCCCCTGAGGCGCGCCGCCGACCCTTTCCCCATTTTCTTTCGGGAGTGGAAAAAACACACAGACACAATGAATCGTCGATTCCCCAGGAAATATGGGAGAATACAGTAAATATAAGAAAATATTGGGAATCCTGTTATTTGTGCTTATTTTTTTGTGTGTGTCCTTGGGCCCTTCAATCTTTTAATCCTCAAGCAGTGGCGAAGCGTCCTGGCTCGGTTACAGGACTACCAAAGAATGTTCTAAGAACCTTTCGTGGTTTGCACGAGATGTTCTTAGAACATTTCTGACTGGGACTGTCTTGTTTTAGCACGTCGGGCTTATGTTCTAAGAACATTGTTTTTGTCATTAGAACATGCTTGGGTTCTAAGACCATGTTGTGGTAGGCCTATAGGAATGCCGGGACGGACGGTCCCTGCTCCATATCCTGAGTCTAAGTGCAATTTGCCGAGCGCGGTCCACTATTCGCACAGTACCCATTCGCAAAAGGTCCAAAAAACCAAGCCTCCGCCTCGACGCAATGGATCGAGAGTCCCCTCGGCGGATCCAGGCCTTGTGCGAACAGTGATTCTGCGAGGAGTGGAGCACGCTTGTCTGTAGTAATACGGCCCCAGGGCTCGAGAAGGGCCCAGGGATCGAGCACAGCCCAAGCCTTCCGCCAGGACTCTTTCACGACGCGAGGGGGTCTGAGAGCGGCGAGGGCGCCCCCGAGGCCCAATCTTAGGGTCGGGCATGTCCTCCTGCAGGCGGATTTTGGAAGGAAAACAGAACATGGTCGACAAATGAGCCAGAAGAGTGGAAAATTTCGTCACCTGACTATCTTTTGATTAACTGTTCTTGGATGTCCCTGCCGTAGGAAGGACCTGCCCGACTCGAGCCCAAGCCTGGCGGCGGCCGGCCCTGGCGCCGCGCCCCGCCCTGCCCCGGTAAAACGACGCGAAGATCGGGACAAAATCGGATCGGGAGAACTCGAAATCTCCGAGAATCGGCGGGCTTGGAGGATGTATGGGGGGGGCCGCGGCCGCTCCAGAGCGCTCCGGAACGCTCTGGAGCGATTTATCCCGATCCTGGCCTGTTTTGGGCCCCCGCGCGCGCGCGCGCAAAGGCGAAGCTTATGCGCTGCGCGCACGTTGACCTGCCGCTGGAGCTGGCGCCGTGCACGGCGGCGCTGGCGCGGCTGCACGCGCGCGGGCCCCAGGGTGGCCCACGGCGCGGGCAGGGCCCGGTGGCCAGAGGTCCGGGGGCCCCTCCACTGCAGCTGCCGTCGCGGTGCCTCCTCCTCCTCTTCCTCCTCCTCCTCCTCTTCCTCCTCCTCCTCCTCCTCCTCTTCCTCCTCCTCCTCCTCCTCCTCCTCCTCCTCCAACTCCTCCTCCCTGGAGCCGTCCGGGGGCGCGGGGCGGCCCGGCACGCGTTCTGGCCAGCAGGAGGGGCGGGCAGGTCCGAGGTCCCCGGTGCGGGGAGGCGTGTTTTGCCCTGTGCGGTCTTCGGGGGCCTTATGGTGGGGCCGTGGCAGGCGGATCCCGGGTGAAGTTGCGCCAGCTGGGCCCCGGGAGGGGTCCAACTGGATAGATGTTGACCAGATGTGGCTTCGTCCCTCCTGACCGATTTTCTTGGGCTCCACCGAGTTCAAGCCTCCTGGCCGCCTTCAACCTCCTCCCTCACTGTCTTACGTCCGTCGGCGAATCCGCGAAGATCGCTGAAGAAGAAGGCCCGAGGAGGAGGGGGGGCAGTGCGAACAAGAGGAGATTCGGATCCAATCGCACACTGCACGGTCGATGCCAAGGCCGAGCCCCCTCTGGGATCAGGGGGGGGGCGTTGCATCCTGCCGGCGCGCACATGTTGAGCAGATGATCGGTTCCGGAGCGGGCCTCGCCTTCGAGGGGTCGATTGGGTTGACCTCCTCTCCTTCTGCCTGCAGACGAGGAAGCCGGCGGAAGTAACACGAGGGCTGCTGCGCCCGCGGGAGTACAGAGGCGTTTCCGAGCCCCCAAGAGATGCCAATTTGTTTGAAATTCAGGGTTTCCCGAGCAGGTCCTGTCAGCGACGGAAGAAAGCAAGGTCAATTGCGCCGACATTTGCGCGTAAGCTGCCCGCGCAAGGTCGCGCGGGAGCGCCCTCGCTCCCAATTCAGCCTGCCGCGCTAGCGACCATCGCAAGCCGCGGCGTAAGGTCGCTGCATCATCTCGCGTAAGACCCGTTCCTGATTGTCGCCCGTGTGGAGGGGGAGCAGGAGCAGAATTAGGAGAATCGAGTAGGAGATTGACTACAGACTGGACTAACCTCAACATCGATTGTGGCGTCGAATCTACAAGCATACGTCGACTGTTCCGTACATTTACGGAGCATTATACGTCTTGTTCGTAGACCATACGATAAATCATTTGGGGGTAGACAGCATATGTAGTTGATCTCCTACTCGAGAGGAGGAGGAGGAGGAGGAGGAGGAGGAGGAGGAGAAGGAGGAGGAGCAGGAGGAGGACGAGGACGAGGACGAGGAGGAGGAGGAGGAGGACGAGGACGAGGACGAAGACGAGGACGAGGCCGCGTGGCCGTGCCTACTGGAGCTGGCAGTGGAGAGGCAGCCGAGGGGAGCTCAGGTCTGAACATGGCCGCCCGAACAAGTTCGTGAACAAGAAGTACGCCTGGGCCAGCGCGCTGCCGACGAGGGGGGACCCAGATTGGAGCCGTCGTCCTCGTCCTCCTCCTCCTCCTCCTCCTCCTCGTCTGTCGGCGGCGAGCGAGGGGGGAAGCGAGAAGGAGGAGGCCTTCTCAGAGGGCGGCGAGGCTCCTCGGAAGCCCTCCGGCCTTCTGAGAAGTTTTCTTGTTGTGTCAGGAAGCTTCCTGAAAGGCCGGACGACGTCCAAGCCCTCTGAGAAGACCCGCCCACCCTCACTTCCCCCCCGGGCGGGCAGCCGAGTCTGGGGGTCTAAGGTGGCCCAGCACTGGTCCTGGTCGGGTTCGAGGTGGTATCTTGCCTTCTTCTGCCTCCGGGTGCCGTTTCCGGGCCCCGGGACCGTCAGAAACGGATTTGGGGTGAAGACGTGCACCAGAGGGACCCCGGCGGGAGGGGTCCGAGGACAGAGCATCCTTCCTCCTGACCGATGCTCTGGGGCCCCACTCGGGTGGACCCAGAAGGCGGTCTAGCGACAAGGGGGTGGTGCAATAGACTTGTGGGGCGTGCAATACACTCCAGAGCGCAAATGTATTGCTGGATTTTCGCGTGCAATATACTACTTGCAATACAGTGCAATACAATTCTCCGGCGCAATACATTCGAATACAATCGCCCCAAATCTATTGCACCACCCCTTTTCAGCTGGACCAAATTTGGGTCACCCGAACCCACCCAGTTCAGGACCCCCCCACGCCGCCTCCAAGACCCAGACCTCCTGGCGCCCGGAAGGATGGCAAGACGGGTGCTGCCGTCTGAGCTCGGGGCGTCGGAGGCCCGCTGCGGGCCCCTGGGGCCGCCAGAGGGTGAGCACCGGCAGAGGAGCAGGTCGGGCGGGGGTACAGTCAGGGCGCCGAAGGAGGAACCCTTTTCGTTGGGAGGGGCTCGGTGTTCCTTTACTGTTTCCCAGCCTGCCTGCGGTGTTCCTTCAGTTTTCGAGGGGAGATCGAAGTTCAACTTGTGGAGAAGAGGGGCCTCGTTCCTGATTTAGGGCTCCTTAGGTCAACGCCTCGACTGCAGGACCCGGAAAGATCGTTCCAGAGCGCTGCCGAACGCTCTCAGCGCGTTCTGGAGCGCGCTGGAGCGGCCGTGGCGCCGGGCACATCCTCCAGAAGCGCAGGATCTCCCAGATCTTCGATGTGTCCCAGTCCGATTGTGTCTGGGTCCTGGCTTCGACTGGCCAGGTGCCTCAGCGCGAAGCCATTGCGAGAGATGTGTGAGAAGCTCCCCCAATCGCCATGTATCGCCGACTTGGGCCCGATAGCCCCACCCCGCTCAGGAACGTGAGGATTTGCCATCGGGGGCCTATCGCCGATGCATCGGCGATGTATCGCCGATTCCAGCTCGATGCTTCCCACCCTGAGCCGGCCCCCCCCCTAACATTCTCCGTCAGTCAAGGGCTCCATAACTTCGCGAACTGAACAGATCATGGCGTCAGAGGTCTGGGTGGAGGAAGCGGAGAGACCAAGCAGGATGATCATAGCAGGAAGAGCGTCAACGGCGACAAAGGAGGGGGAGGTGATCAGGGAGAACCGGAAGAGAGCCGTATAAATACAGATGCACGTGTGTAATTGATACGTGCACAAGAGAGGTATCAAGTTATGCGCGCAAAATATGTGCAGATACATGTGTGAAAGTAGTTGTGCGTACGCACGCGTATGAGGTACAGGTGTACGTATGAGTATACAGACACACATGTACATCTATAAAGATGGGAAAAATGATGTGAGGGAGAGTGATAAGATCAAACAGAGACAGGGAGAGAGAGTACAGCAAAAAATACTTGGCGAAGGACACAACCATTTGCAGTTGTGCGCACCGCAATTGTCAATATCTTCTTCGGTGAAGCTCCCTATGGGGCCACGAAGCGCTGGATTGGGTGGGGGGGAACGCATGCGGGCGGTAGCACTGAGGCCGTCGGTGGAGCTCCCTATGGGACAACACGAAACGCTGTACTGGGTTGGGGGGACGCATGCAGACGGTGGCATTGGGGCTTTCGGTGGAGCTCCCTATGGGGCCACGAAGCGCTGTATTGGGTGGGGGGACGCATGCGAGCGGTAGCACTGGGGCCGTCGGTGGAGCTCCCTACGGGACCACGAAACGCTATACTGGGTGTGGGGGCCGCATGCGGGCGGTAGAAATGAGGCCGTCGGTGGAGCTCCCTATGGGGCCACAAAACGTTGTATTGCGTGGGTGACAATGCCAAATCCGGTGCGTGGGACGCATGCGGACGGTCCCACTGGCGTCTTCGGTGGAGCTCCCTATGGGGCCACGAAGCGTTGTACTGGGTGGGCGAAAATGCCAAATTACGCGTGTGGGCCGCATGCGGGCGGTCCCATTGTGGCCTTCGGTGGAGCTCGCTATGGGGCCCCGAAACGTTGTACTGGGTGGGTGAAAATGCGAGCCTTCGGTGGAGCTCCCCATGGAGCCACGAAACGCTGCACTGGGTGAGTGAAAATGCCACATTGGGCGTGTGGGCCGCATGCGGGCGGTGGCTCTGGGGGCTTCGGTGGAGCTTCCTAAGGGGCCACGAAACGCTGTACTGGGCGAGTGAAAATGCCAAATTGCGCGTGTGGGCCGCATGCGGGCGGTGGCACTGGGGGCTTCGGTGGAGCTCCCTATGGGGCCACGAGACGCTGTACTGGGTGGGTGAAAGTGCAACATGTTGTGCGCTTCGGAACGCATGCGGACGGTGGCAATGGGGCTTTCGGTGGAACTTCCCTTGGGGCCACGAAACGTTGTACTGGGTGTTCGAAAAAGCCACAGTGGGCGTGTCGGAACGCATGCGGACGGTGGCAATGGGGCCTTCAGTGGAGCTCCGTTTGGGGCCACGAAACGTTGTATTGGCTGGGTGAAGATGGCAATTTTTTTGTTTCGGGACGCATGCGGACGGTCCCACTGGGGGCTTCGGTGGAGCTCCTTGTGGGGCCACGAAGCGTTGTACAGGGTGGGTGAAAATGTCACATTTGGTTTTCGGGACGCATGCGGACGGTGGCATTGGGCCCTTCGTTGAAGATCCCTATGGGGCCACGAAACGCTGTATGGGATGTGTAAAATGCCAAATTGGGCGTTTCGGAACGCACGCGGACGGTCCGTCCCACTGGCGGCTTCGGTAAAGCTCCCTATGGGGCCACGAGAAGCTGTATCGGGTGGGTGAAAATGCCACATTGGGCTTTCGGGATGCATGCAGACGGTGGCAGTGGGGCCTTCGGTGGAGCTCGCTATGGGGCCACGAAACGTTGTACTGGGTGGGTGAAGCGCAGGGAGGAGGGAGGGAAGGGGGAGGAAGGAAGGAGGGAGGAACGCGGGGACCGTCTCTGCAAAACGGTGACCCAACACCACAGGATGGTTGGGAACAGAGTGAGTGCGTGAGACAGAGAGGATGGGAGAGACACGAGAGAATGAGAGAGAGAGAGAGACACACACCGGCTGAGCAGGTAACATAGATAACCAGGTGGCGGACAGTGAAAGGCTCGATAATCATTTGAGAGATTGTTGAATGTGAACATGCGTACGCACAATCGTCAAGTAGGCTGCTTATTATGAGTCCTAGCTCAAGCGAAAGAGAACTGGTCCACTGGCCCTTGCATCCTCAAACTATCCGCATGGCTTTCTCTGCATCCGCCTGGCTTCCTCTGCTACCTAGTGGCTTTCGCCCCATCCCGCCACCGTGCCTGGCTTGTAGGCCAGAGGCCTCGTGGATGCCTGTGAGGATCTCGTGGAAGGTTTATCGGATGACTCCTGAAGGCGGTATGGATGATGTTTTGGGGCGTCTTAGGGAACCTCTTGGGGCCTGATTTGGGCCTCTCGGGGCCTCTTGGGGCCTCTTGGGCACACCTCGGAGGCTTCTGGAGGGATCTTGGGGCGGATGGCTCAAAATGTTAGTTCGTGTTCCCCGTCTTGGGCTCCTCTCGGTACCGTCTTGTGGGCCTCTTCGGCCCCTCTTGGGGGCTCTTGAGCCGGTTGGGGGCGATCTTGGACGCCTTTTGAATCTTGGACATTCTGAAGTAATGCGGAGCCATGCAAAACCAATAGATCTTGACAATGTTGGCTTCTTTGCCCGCCGTCCAGGGCCTCCAAGACGGCCCGAGAGGAGCCCCAGAGGCCAAGAGAGCTCCAGGACGGTCTCCAGGGCCATCTGCAACCATCTTGGACATGCATGTCCCGAACACCGCGCCCTTGGCTTCTCGCAGAGTCACGCGAGGAGACCCAAGGCACCTGGTAGGTAGAGCAGAGTCCAGAGTAGAGCCCAGAGGGGAGGCCAGAGTAGAGTAGAATAAAGTAGAGTAGTACAGAGTACAGTCCAGAGCGGAGTAGAGACTCTAAACGGAGCAGCGACTCCCGATTAAACTCTATTATTGCGACTGTCGATACGACGACTATTGCTACTACTACTACTACTACTACTACTACTATTACTACTACTACTACTACTACTACTACTACTACTACTACTACTACTACTACTACTACTACGACTACTACTACTACTGCTACTACCACTACTACTACTACTACTACTACTTTACTACTACTACTAACTACTACTACACTACTACTACTATACGACTACTACTCTACGACTACTACTGCTACTTCTACCTCTTACTACTACTACTACTACTACTACTACTACTACTACTACTACTACTACGACTACTACTGACTACTACTAACTAACTACTACTACACTACTAAACTACTACTACGACTACTACTACTTACTACTACTACTACGACTGCTAGTGCGGCTACAACTGCTACTACACTACTACTACTACTGCTGCTACTACTACTGCTCTATACTACGACTACTACTGCTACTACTACTACTACTCTACCTACTACTACTATGCACTAGCGGACTATACGACTACTACTACTACTACTACTACTACTACTACTACTACTACTACTACTACTACTGCTACTACTTCTACTACTACGACTATACTACTTCTACTACTACGACTAC